TACTTCAGATGGTGCAAAATAGAGCAGCCAGGTTGCTGATGGGGACTAGGCGTTACTCTCATACAACCCAGTCCTCTACCTGCTTCACTGGGTCCCCATCGAAGTCTGGGCTCAATTCAAGGTGCTGGTTATTACCTATAAAGCCCTTAATGGCTTGGGACCTGGATACCTAAAGGAACACCTTCTTCCGTATTTGCCCTCCCACCCCCTGAGATTGGCAGCAGAGGCCCTCCTCTGGGAGCCCTCCGTGAAGGATATTAGGGTACCTGGAAGAGGGCTTTCTCTGTGGTGGCACCCCATCTGTGGAATGCGCTCCCCAGAGAAGTCCGCCTGGTGCTGAAAAACATCAACTTTTAATATCATCTATAGGTTTTAATCTGCAGCCAGGGTGAATCTGGATTTTATTTGCACTATTTGTATTATGTTTATTTATTTATGTAACCTGTCCCGAGGCTATGCAATGGGACAGCATATAAAAATTTTAAACAAACAGACAAATAAGCATGCAAGCTTTCAGCCACCGCCCTGAAATGTTCCCTTCTGCTTCGGAGGTGATGGGTTTCTCTTCCTCGGTGATGGGTTTCTCTAATTCTCTCAGGTCTTCGTCCACCAGTCCTCGGTGTATCAAATTTAAGTCCCTTTGGGGGAGGCTGTCGAAAAAGTTCCGTATCTCCTCCCCCCGGATGGGCTTCTCTCGATAGATCTGAGTATAATAACGTTTCACGACGTCCAACATTTCATCGGGACGGAGGGAAACTGCGTCATCCTCAGAGAGCCTCAGGCCCTTCATGCTTTCAAAGGGTGCTTGGGTTCTAGCTCTCACCCACTCATCCTTGTCCACCAGGGCCCCTTTAGTCCTATAAAGTTTGGCATTTCTCTTCTTTTGCCTCTGCCTCATCTGGAAGGCCACGATGACTTCCCTGGAACGCTGTAGCAGCTGTTTGTCATACGGGAGCCCACGATTGACCCTGCTGTGACACTTGACGAACTGGTAAACTGCCTCTTGGTATGTTTTCACCTCTTTACTGTTGATCCGGACGTCTAGGCTCCAGCACCTCTTCCTGACGATCCGCTTGCATCTCTCCCACCAGGCCGCCAGATCATCTTCATACAAGTCACAAAGGGTGAGCATGTTAGCCTCCACCTTAGCTAACATGCTCACCCTTTGTGACTTGTA